GTCAGTAGCACCTCTAGTAATATATTTACTGAGAAAAATGTTGACGTGTTCAATACATATTTTACCCGCTGTATGCGTGGATTGGATAACCTCTCACCAAAGAGGATCTCTACCTTACACTATAAATTAAAGGGAAACTGACAGATTTATGATCATATATTTTGGTTAATAACAAAATATTAAATGGTTATTTATTATGACCACATCATATTGAATTTTTGTAAAAAAAATTTTTTTACACCAAAATAATTTAGGGGGGCTTTAAAATGATGCCACTGTCCCTCAGGATTTCAAATATTTTAGAAAAAAATTAGACAAAGTAAAACTTTGGCTGTGCGAAGGAGCATGCAGCATCATGCTGGCAGTGGCACTGGTTTCACAACACAAAACAGAGTAAACTGCGAACTTCGATCATTATGTTTTTATGATCACTGAAAACCCAAATCGTAATCAAGATCAAAATCCGATTAATTGCCCAGCCCTATCTTATCTCATTGTCTTTTGCACGCACTAATTCAGATAGTGGTATTAAAAAAAAACATGTAAAACCTGCATTATTATTATTATTAGAGCCCAACAAATAGAAATTTCTTGTCAGGCATCGTTTTCTAAATTAACTAGTTTTGGAAGACTGTGAGAGACCCTTGACCTGTCCAGGAATTATCTTTGTCCATTACCTGCTGGATACAGAAACTAATGGACAAATAGTTTGTGAAGGGTTGTGTAGTGTCACAAGATGTTGGTGATATACTGTACTTATGTGTGACTAATAACAAAAGTTGTGGTGAATATTATTAGGAACAAAATACACCATTTGAGCTTTTTATGTAAAGTTCACTAGCAGCTGTTGAACTGCTAAGAACTGATAAATCAGTTGATCATCCTTGTCTGCAAAAGGTTTTCTTGTCAGACAAGGTTGGCTGGATGGCTCTTCTGATTTTTGGAACAGCTTTTGGTGTTTCAAGCCAGTATTTTCAGGTTTTATTTATTCCCTTTTTTTATTATTGTGGACTGATTTTGCTGACAGTCACTCCATTCCTATTTGTTTGGTGGAAACAAGTTTTTCAAAATAATGGGTAAAAGACTGAGAAGCACACCGAGTCACATGAGCACTTAAAACTTATATTAAGTAGGCTCCTTACTAAACAGTTCTTATGTCCAGAATAGAAAAAGCGTACATGAAAAATAATTATAACAGACCTGAAACATAATAGCCACATTGTAGCTACAGAAATGTGTGTCTTTACTCACACCACTTTTAAATGGCAGTACTGTGATAATCCGTCAAGCTCATACATTAAGGGCGTATCGTTTACAGAAGAAAGCAGAAAGAAAAGAAAGACATCTAAGCAAGTGCTACGCAGTGGGAAAAAGCCAAAAATATTAACTTTCCATAACCACTATAAAATTAAGACAATGTTTGGTATTTTCCTGATGTGAATTACCTGCAGAACTGTTGATTTTACAGTTTTCAAAACAATTTTTTTCTGTACTAATCTCATTTACTTCACCCTCGTCATCATCACAGTGGGAGTTTTTAGTCACACTTTCCAAGCAAAGAACCATTACTGCTGTTTCACAACATTAATACCGAAGAACAAGCTGCAGATGTTCTCAGCCCTGCAGTTGGTATTTGGTGAATTACAGTGTCTTTGACTTTAAATTCGAATGTGTGATGGCTGTTTGATCTTTTTGTGCGCGTGTCATGTGGGAACTGAACTCTGTTTTGTGACGGACTGCAGCGCGTGTCAAGTCTGAGTTAAACAGCGAAGCGTCTCGCTTTGTAGCCGAGGCAGCTGCAGTCTGAAACACGATGTCCATCATATCAGGTTTCTAAAAATATTTACAGATTATGTCAACAGCTTCGAGACGAAGATAAGCAGTTTAGGCTGGAGAGCTGGATGAAGATATCACCTTCATTGTTCCTAACAGTCTGATAACAGTCCTTATGAAGAAAGAGTGGAGGGCTGTGCAACATAAAATGGTCATATGTGGAGGGAGACCTATAAAAAACATGTAGTAATAAATTTATCTGCCTGTTGTTCTGTCCTTGTTCCCTGTGTGATAGTTTTGTGGACTATGGGTGAAAGCTGAGCTGGAACCATAAACACTGATGCTTCTTTACCAGCTCAGGAAAGCAGATGGTGTCTGGGCAGGCTTCAGTTTTTGGAAACTTAAATGGGGGGGATGTTGTCTTCACAGCTTAGAA